ATCATATTTGACTCTCAGGATCATCTGTCCTGAATATTTTAAACTCAAGCAAGTAAACTAAAAGTGCTGAGATGTTGTGAGGGGGAAACCTTTTTATCTAGATGACCGAGTCTTTGTAATTTCTAGTATTTTGACAGGCAAGCTAGTATCTGAGCACAGTTTGACTTGCAGTAGTCCCTCGTTTGTTGCAGGTATTTGGGACCGCAGCCACCCGCAATAAGTGAAAAACCGCGAAGTAGGGATACAGTGATCCAAGTTCAAGTTCAGTAAACTTTGTCATGACGTGTGCCAGGCTGTGATCACCACCTGTTACTTCCATTCTCCCTCCTTAAATAAACATTGTAGAGAAGAGAAGTGCAGCAGGACATCATCAAAGTGATGTCACACAGCTTCAGCTCTGCAGCACAGAGCACAAATATACTTCTTGATCAATTACACTTCAACAACTAAACATAGACGTTCTAAAATGATTAAAAATAACTTTTAACACTTTTATATTTTGTGATTATGCTGATTTTTATGATGTGACGTACTTTGAATTTTAAGTTGGAAGGCAAAAGTTGATCGGTGCATCCGGACAGCAAAGGGTTAACCCCTCACAAAGTCACAGCAGGAGCAATGTGTGTGCTGCTGAGGAGATCAGCTGATCAGCTGCAGGAGGGAGCTTTCCTTTCACTTGTGAGCTGCACACATGGTGCAAAATCATTTAAAATAATCTATTTTAAATAAACAACCCATGGCTCATCCATAAATCAGCCAACTGTGTCATGTCCAACAATCTTACTTTGAAAATCTGCGATATATCAAACCCGTGATAAACGAAGCAGCATGGGACTACTGCATTTCAGTCATTGTTTAACAGGTAACAGAACAGCATTTATCACTTTCTGAGCAAAGAAAAAAAGCAGATCTAACCTTTTTTAATTTTTTTGTTATACTTTGTTTTTAGGAACAATAATCATCTTTGTCTGATGAACTCGGTACATTTTAACTCCATGTGCAGATGACAATAGTTTCCTCTCATCATAGGTGCTGCTGTTTCAGACCTAATTAGGAAGAGCCTACAGTTTCCTTTTCAATCTTGGCCCAGTCACTTGGATGCCGGATCAATCTGAAAAATTCAGACTGAAAATTTTAGATTTCAAAGAATGTTTATTTTTTTGTGGTTATAGCAAGGTGACACAAGTAAAATGTACTGAGTTTATAACGACATGAGTTACTGTTCTAGTTAAAAACATTTACCGTAGATTGCAAAGGTGAAATTTCACGTTTTGTGTAAACATCTTGAGAATTTAAAAATGCATCTTGAAGAATAATATTTAAATGTAGTTGATGGAAAACAAGCACCATTTTATAATGCAACTATTGTTGAAGAATACCTTTTTATTGTGGTCGTTAGGAAATGTACAGTCGGTGAAACCAAATTGATGGGTGCATGTTTTGATCTGTTTTGTGCTTTTCGTCTAAAATCATTGATTTTGATCACACCCTAAACTTATTGAACATTCAACCTGAGTTTCCTTCGTCCTCTCGGAACTCATTTATTCATTTAGTTGATTAATTATATGTTGTTAGTTGAACTGGTACACACCAGTTATTAAATAGATGAGGGAGTAGTAGAGAGTGAGCAGGACTGCACAGGTAATGCATGCCCCAGAGAGAAAACACAATCTGTGCCATATGTTCTGGGAATAGGTTTGTCCGTTGCTATTCAGGAGCAAATATTATGCAAGACAAACTTATTACTAGGGCATGTGAAAGAGAAGTCTGCCGCACAGTATACATGAACTTTCTCTAAGGTCAACGAGCAGGCGCTGTCAAGTCTTAACATGCATACTCTGGTTCACTGTTCAGAGGATGTCACGTACATCTGGCGGCTTGCTCGTTTTGAACTTGGCCTATAAAAATGTTTATTCAATTACTTATTAATTATTTGTTAATTATTACTAAAAATGTTTTCAATTATAATAGTTCCCTGAACTATTTCATTTCTATGTACTGCACCTCAATTTGACATCAGAATTTATAAATCATCGTATATATGATCTTATATCTTAATGAACTTATCTCTTCTAATAGGACTGCCGTTTCTTGAAGCAGCTAAAATGGATAACACATGTCAACTTGAAAACTAAATTGTATTTATTTTATTTTTTTTAACATTTAAGTAATTTATTTTGTTTTATTTTTTTCACTGAACAAAATTATAAACATAACAGTTGTGTTTATACTCGTATTTTTCTGATCACTCAAAGATCTAAGACTTTATATGTACACAAAAGGACTTTTTCTTTCAAATGTTGCTCACAAATGTGCAAATTTGTGTTTGTGAGCGCGTCTCCTTTTGGAGAGATGATCAATCCATCTCACATGTGTGGCATATCAAGATGCTGAATATACAGCATAATTATTGCACATGTGTGCCTTGGGTTGACCACAATAAAAGGCCACTAAAATGTGCAGTTTTATCACACAGCACAATGCCTCAGATGTTATGTTTTGAAAAGCATGCATTTACCATGTTGACTGCAGGAATGTCCTTCCTGTGTGGGTGAGAAGTGTGCTGATGTCAAAAGTTGCAAATCGAGTGGCCCATGGTGGCGGTGGGATGATAGTATGGGTAGGCGTATGTTGGACAGCAAACCAGTGTGTTTTATTGATGACATTTTGAATGCACAGAGAGACCGTAACGGGATTCTAAGGCCTATTGTTGCTCCATTCATCCATGACCAACACCTCATGTTGAAGCATGATAATGTTAAAAATGGGATTAGTACGCAATTCCTGGTAGCTGAAAACATACCATTCATTCAACCTTTATTTATACAGGTTAGTCTCATTGAGCCTCAGGGACTCATTTACTAGAGAGACCAGTTTTTAACAAAGAATAATAACACTCGGCAACAAAAACAACAGTAGACGATCATAAAAGAAAGCATGTAAATTGAGAATAATAAATGAAAGAATATACCATTTCTTGCATATAGTCGGTATATTCACCGGATGTGTCACCCATTGAGCACGTTAGAGGTGCTCTGGGTTGGCATTTACGATGGCGTGTTCCAGTTGTGTCTAGTTGACACCAGATACCCCACCCCCAATAAGTACACAGCACATTTTACAGTGGTCTTTTATTGTGGCCAGCCTAAGACACACCTGTGCAATAACCCTACTGTTAATCAGCATCTTGATATGCCACACCTGTGAGATGGATGGATTATCTCAGCAAAAAAGTGCTCACAAACACAGATTTACACAAAGTTGTGAACAGTATTCGAGAGAAAAAGGCCTTTTGTGTACATAAAAAGTCGTCGATCTTTAAATTCAGCTCATGAAAAATGGTAGCAAAAATAAAACTGTTGCGTTTATATGTATTTTTGTTCACTGTAAGAAGTATAAATAGTTAAAGTCAGCTTTTTGTTTGCCTCTGTGTTAAAGTTAAATGGGTTTTATTCCACATTGAATGTATAACACATCCACTTTGTCTTGGCAGATTGAACACATGCACACAAACTCACTGTAACAAACATAATGCAACATAAAGGGGACATTGTCCTCATTAAGTGCCACGTGCTGTCACTGTATCATTAAACACTATGCTGTGAGAGTCAATAATAATTACTTAGCAGGAATATTTCATTTATTAATGTGCAGCAGTAGCCATATCTTCTTTTTGATCTTTTCAGTGTTAGCTCTACTGAAAGTGTGTTTGAAAGTGTTTGCACCTTCCCTCTGGCAATGACAGTATGATGCATGGAGTAGCAGCAGCCTGCTATCACAGAGAACAGGTGGCTCTCTCCAGAGAAGCTCTGACAAACTGGCCTGATTTAATGCGTAGAAAGAAAACTAATTGAACTGTTGTCTTTCTATTCTGGGGTGGAAATTGTTGCTGTGGCTGCAGGGTGTCATGGTGAACAACTCTGGGCCACTCATTAGACATGCTAGCATAATGTGTAGATGTGCGAGCAGCAAGATTTCCATTCCAGGTTTTAGATGATAAGTTGGAACACATGTTAGAGGTGCTTTCCTAGCTTGATGATTTGGTATGTATTACTAGAATGTAAACAACTTCAGAGAAACGTGTCTGATCAGGCAGTGGTTATGCTTCTTTGACTGAATGGCATCTTTGCAGATATATCTGATAAAGCATGACGATCGTTTTGTTGGGTCTCTGCAGTTGGTTTCCAGGTTGCACATAAAGCAACATAGCCCTAGACTTTTACCCTCAACACTATCCAGCTTAGTTTATTCACCTAAAACTGTTACATGCATCTAAAGCCAAAAGCAATAAAAACGGTAAACCTTCAGGTTATAAAACAGATCTGAAAGATGCTAAAGAGCTCAGTGTTAGCAAAGAGAACTTTAGGGTCCGACAGTGGTTTAATGCTTTAAAACTATGATTTCTACAACTGAAATTCATGAAATAGAAATTGCTGGATGTGTGATGGCAGAGGTTTTGATCTTTATGTGGGTTCAGGCAACTTATGTCATGTGCTGCTGGCTAAAACTTTGTCTCTTGTCTTGTTCAGCCTTCATTATTTTTCAGCCATGGGACATGGTTATTGATGTGACAGTCACTTTGTCTCTTGCAACATTCTCAGTCACACACTTTTCCTGGATACAAGAAAAGACAAAAGTCAAGATGTGTTTACCGTAATAGAGCTGTGTCGGACTCCTTTTGGCATGTAGAGGGAACGCAGTGAGAAAATACTTCGACTGCCAGAGCTTGTGCAGAAAGAATCATGTTGAGCACTGAGGTGGCAGTGTGTGCAAGTCTACCACTCCTGTTCTGTCCCTCCTGTTTTTCACCTCGTACACAGAACACAACCCAGGAAAAAGGAAGAAGGTGCGGCTCTAAAACAGACTAGTCATCCCTTTTTTTCCTCCTTACTCGCTCTATTTATACAGTCCTCCTCCTTTTGTCCTCGTTTCAACTGTTTTCTGCTGTTGACTGTGTCAAGCCTTAACATGTAGATGTCTACCTGTGTTTTTGTTTGTAGATGGCTGCAATCAGGAAGAAGTTGGTGATAGTTGGAGATGGCGCATGTGGGAAGACTTGTCTGCTTATCGTCTTCAGTAAGGACCAGTTCCCGGAGGTCTACGTCCCTACTGTATTTGAGAACTACATTGCTGATATTGAAGTTGATGTCAAACAGGTAAAAAAAGGTCAAAACATCTGCTAGAGACCATACATAATGCCATGAACAAAGTCAATACTTCTAATCAGTGTAATTATTTAGGTTCGTTGGTGTGAACTGATTTTCACACAACTTAAAACGTTGAGGAAAATATTGAACGTCAAAACTATACTGCACACATCTGACTAAAATTAGAGCTCATGTTACAGGCATTAATGTGTAAAATACAAATTTATTTTTATATTGTGAAACCATTTTATTTTTATATTATGAAACAAGTTCAAGTGAAACAAACAAAGGAGGTCTTAGGGCAAAATGAGAACTGTAAGGAATTAATCTGCAGCAGGGATTTGAAAGGGATTTCGCTTTTACCCTTGATGTGAAAGTAGAACAAGCAATTTTATGTGACCCTGGTTATGAACCATGCCATTGTGATTCATGGGGATAAATGCATAATGGGAGTGAGCCTTTGGGTCATTTCTTTCTTATAATCAGACAGACTTTAACCCAACAACAGGAAGTAGATCTGCGCTACCTTCCTGATGGAAATGAAGTCCCCTCTCCATTGCCACCCCTGTACATCATGACTAATATCCTATTTCCTGCTTCCTGTGCTTCAAAATCTGAAATCAGCTTTGTGAGGTTCTGACTCTTTAAGTTGATTGATCAGCAAACAGCATACACATTTGTTTGGGATGTTATGAGTTATATTGTGAGAATCATTTTCATGGTTTTTGTTCCAATTATTATTTTACAATCTTGTAAGTTTTAAAGCAGCAATCTAATTTTCTATGTAAAATCCAAACTCTTTAAATAAAAATATAGGCTAACTGGAACATTTTGGCAAAAAAAAAAAAAAAAAAAAACATTTCTGAACAGATCTTGATAAGTTTGTGTAGAAAACGACTTCATGCAGCCCAATTTTTTTCTGTTTACTTGTTTCTTAAGTTCATCTTGGTTTAGATTTAGCTTTTAATAGCATGAACAGAAACAGAATAGAACATCAAGGTGGAAATTCAGTTTAAGATTATACTAAAGGCTTATTTAAATTGGATTAAAAAGCCAACTTTTTTTTTTTAAATAAACTTGCTGTACTATTATTTAACACAGTCATTTTGACAGAACTTTAGTTAACCCCTCAATGAAAAGCAATTAGCATATTTTTGAAAAGGGTGAAATAAAATATGTACACTTGGAGTTAAACTGGTTATCTCTGAAGAATGTGATTCTTAGCAAACACAAAGTCCAATATTATGTTTAAATACTGATTATTAATACCGAACAACATTTAAGTTCTTTGTTTTTATTGTTTTACAAGGCACAAGGTAAATGTTCAGTTGCTTCTTATGCAGACTGCCTTTATCAAACGCCTGTTGGAGAATTGTTTGGGTCTAATTGACCAGCTGGCTGCGGTGTGGCTAGAGCATGCAGTTTCTTTGAGTAGTCGTAAATGTTTGTCAAAAAGGTTATGACTGAATATGTGATGCTGCTCCAGTGTGAAAATATTCTCCCTGTGGGTAAATACTTCTGCCTGTGTCACTGTGTCTAGCTACTCTTGCCAAAGAAAGTAGTCTGTGATCCACCAACAAAGCCTTGGCCAACAAGAGTGCAGTGAGAAGTCTGGATGAGCTGCAAACATTCACTAGTTGCTCTGTGTATCCAAATTTTAGCTGCAGCAGGAACAGTTTTCAGCTGTGAGGCTGCTGTTAAAACCAGCAGAATATAGGAAAACACTGGGTCAGTGCCGTTCAAGCTCAGACTTATGCAATCTTAATTTTAGCCTGAGTTGACCTTATTGTACTGGAGTGTACTAAACAGGGTAGTGCTTTTGCTGAGCTATTGCATCTGATTTTTGCTGGGCGTTAGTTTTATGTAGAGCAGGCCAGATGCTCTGGGACTGCCACCAGTTTGATTAACAGCCTCAAGGCCCTGTGAGGAAACTCCTCCACCACTGAAGAGTTGTTTTTTGTTGATTTGTTGTCTGATAATGGATGAATAAAATCTTTTTTCAATTCTCTGTCCAAAAATTTAGCTTCTGTTAGTGTAATGTTTTTGTGCCTTTGTCTTTAAGTAAATAAGTTTTTAATGAATACTCTGCTTAATGTTTCTGCTGTTGCTGCATCTTGGATCTGTGAGTATATTTTTTCTGCTTTTTCTCACAGGTGGAGTTGGCCCTGTGGGACACTGCTGGCCAGGAGGATTATGATCGACTGCGGCCTCTCTCTTACCCTGACACTGATGTCATCCTTATGTGTTTCTCTATAGACAGCCCTGACAGTTTAGGTAAGGCTAAAAATACTTGTTCACAAAGACAGTTGTTGTTCCCATATTCTATTTCATTTACCATCTGCAGACTTCATAAAAGCCACATTTGTTTAGATGTTTTCTTATGTTTGCCAATGGGAAATGTTACCAAAGAGACTGATGTACATGGTTTGCTTAGCTGCTGTGGTTTGATTGACTCTAACTGAAAGTCAGACCTCAAACACAGTAAATTATATAACGAGGTAGAATTTGATCAGTACACACTGTAGAGATGTTGACAAATCACCAAATATCCAGTGAAATGTGAAAATTTGAGTATACCGTATTTTCCACCGTAAACGTCGTTCCTCCCTATAAGTCATATAAGCCAAAATATGTCTAATAAAGTGGAAAAATCAAAAATATGTTGCTTCGCCGTATACGTCGCATCTATTATGCGTCACCGCTGACGCGTCACATTTGTTACGCATCCACGCTGACAACCCGAAAGTGTGGGCCGGTGTGCCAAAAATTGATGGGCTGCCAAATATGGTGGCCGTGGGAGCGTGTACGGGAGGACATTAACAAGAATTTAACTAGATTAACGCTTAACAAAAATTATTTGTTTGCTCGAAATTATAGTAAATGTATGTCTCGGCCTAACTTTTGCTTAATAAATGCACTTTGACGGTCAAATCAGCTACGTTTCTAAAGCCGATACGTGGAAATAAGTGTGTGCCGTGCACGGGACGAGTCACTGTGCAAATTTAACAAGATAAACACCTAAAAACAATTGTTTGCTCGACTTTATAGTAAAGGTGTCTCTGAGTTGAACTTTTACTTAATAAAAGGACTTTAATGGTCAAATCAGCTGTATTTCAAAAGCATTCGCTGCCTCGGTGCTCCAGGAGCGCACAGATGGAGGAAAAAGAAAAGGGGAACGTTGCGCATTTCATAGAAATTTAACAAGCTAAGTACCGAAAACAATTATTTGTTTGCTTGACTTTATATCAAAAGTGTGTCTCAGTTGAACTTTTACTTAATAAATGCACTTTAATGGTCAAATTAGCTGCATTTTGCCGGGGCGGCGCAGCAAAACGAAGCTGATTTGACGGACGAAGGTGGCAGGCTGTGGCAAGCTGATTGTGTCAATAGCCACTTTTACCTCTTCCATTATACAACGGCATGCCACAGTACTCTGGCATGAAAATGGTAGTGTTCAATCTTTTCAGTCAGAATGAATGAAAACGATCATATCTCAGCCAAATTGGTTTATAAATATGGTAATAAATCCATAAATATGTCGCTTCGGCGTATAAGTTGCAGGGCATGTAAATTATGCAGAAAAGTGATTTATAGGGCAAAAAATGCAGTTTGTGATATTTTGGCAGTCTTTTGTCATAATGTCTAATGATTTTGTAATGGCTTTAAATTTAGTTGTTTAAATAAAGTAAAAACAATTAAAATGGCTTCAGTTCTGCCGTGTTCAACAAAAAGTTTAAAATTTATAGTATATGTACTACATGTTCTAAATGTATCTAAAGTACATGTACTTTGGATTTAGAACGGTGTGTTCTCGACTCCTAAAAGAATCGGATCTAATGGAAAAAATTGTTTATAAAAAAGCTTCAGCTGTTGGTTTTCTCCCACAGTATTTTGAAGGGTAATGTTTCACATGGTCATCTTTAGCATAATGTCTGCTTCCAAAAAAAACAGCTGACTTTGGCCGGAAAGCTCAGACCACGCCATCAGCCAGGGGTTAGCAACCTCTTGATGTTAGTTGGCACAATCTTAGGGGAGACTCCTCCTCCTCTCCTTATAGGGAAAAATTTTGGTGTGTACTGTGCTCTGACTATATTTTCATGCTTTAAATTTTACAGAGAACATTCCAGAGAAATGGACGCCCGAAGTGAAACACTTCTGTCCCAACGTCCCCATCATCCTTGTGGGCAACAAGAAGGACCTTAGAAATGATGAACACACACGTAGGGAGTTGGCCAAGATGAAACAAGTGTGTTTCTGCTTCAAGCATAAACACGATCCCTTCATTTACCATCTTCTGTTTTTCTACAACTCTGAAGTGAAATGTTTAACCCTCTCTGTATGTCCCAGGAGCCTGTGAAGTCTGAGGAAGGCAGGGACATGGCAAACCGCATCAGTGCCTTTGGCTACCTGGAGTGCTCAGCCAAGACGAAGGAGGGTGTGCGGGATGTGTTTGAGATGGCCACCAGAGCAGCACTGCAGGTCCGCAAGCGCAAGAAGAGGGGTGGCTGTCTGCTACTGTGAAGGGCCAGTGTCTTTTGGTTCATCAGCGCCAGTGGGAGGACTCTCCCAGACACAGAGCAAATGTAGAAAAACATGAAATCTGTGGCTTCCATAGACTGTACTTCCTTCACAGATGCAAATATAAAAGACTGCCACATCTGTTTAAAAGCAAAACAAATCAGCCTTTTTGTTAGTTTTCTTTTACAACTAACCAGTTAGTTTCCAGTTGTTTTTTTGTTTGTTTTTTGCAATAGCACACCAGTCTGATTGTGACTGGACCCTTCATTCTGTATGTATGTGTTTCTATTTAAATGTGCATACACTTTAAAAATGCCAAGTGTCTGCCTGTGTGCCATTATCGTTGTTTACAGAGGTTTTGTGGACTTCTGCCCACTGACCAGATCTCTTTCTTGGCTGCGAGGCTGTTTTTGATTTGTTGCCTTTGTGCTTCTCCTGAACTTTCTTTATATACCACTTAATTACCTTTTATACATCAGCACTATTTCATTCTTCTGTGTTGTATCACCATTAATTTTCTACTCTAAAATGTGCTGTCAATAGAACTGTTATTTTACAAGTTGTTCCTCCACTATAGACTAAAACCCAAGCCTGTTCACACTTGATGAGTTCACTGTAGCCTGCATGCAGAGCACTAGAAAAGCAGCCTTTGCAGGGAGAGGCTTTGCACCATGCCTCTTGTTCATGGCGATGGCTTTAACTGGCACTGGAGACAGTGGTCTGTTGTGGATAAAACTGGCAGCTGCACACAAACTGCTTCCGACAGACTTCAACAAAGCTTTTCCTTCAACTGCAGTCCAACCTCCTGATCTCAGTACTGTTCCAGATCCAGTGTAGTTCTCCAACATCCCTGTGCACTGGATTTACTGAGGATGAATGCACTCTGTAAACATTTAGATTTGTTTAAACGATTGGACAAAATGCACAACTGACAGCCACTTTGGCAGCTCATTGTCATTAGCAAAGTGCCATTTGTTTGTTTCCAGCCATCTCAGACCAAGTCTGTTGGCCATTTGAAACTAGGACTTTTTTGTAGCATCAATAGTATTAAGTTTGTCCAAGACACTCACGATGGAGTTTTATTAAGACTCTTTACCAAGTAGTTATTTGCAGTTTGTTTTTCTCCATCACAGCTAAAGCAAAGCAGTCATTGGAATAACCCCCCATGTGTTAAGTGTATTATTGGCCCACTGTTCCTGCAACAGTTGTAAACTAGAGCTGTTCTTTCTTCTGTATAGAACATTTGGATCCACAGATTGGAATGTAGTGGGCCTAGTCTAATACCTGGACAGTGTCCCAGTATTCAATGTCAAATCCCTTAAAGAAAAAAATGTTGATTATAATGATGCTTTGCAAACAGAAGTGGAATGTGTTGAATTTATGTATGATGCAAAACATTAAAGTATTTTTGAAATACTATTTAACAGGATATTTTGTGTTTTTTTTTTTTTTTTTAATTATGAAGTACTTTAAATTCATTGTATATAAAGGTTTGTTTGGAGTATGTCAGGAAAAAAAAGTTACTTTACAAAGTTTTCTGCTGGACAACTTTAGACATATTAATCACTTTGTTTTATTTGATCACACTTCAAATCAAGTCAAATTTATTATAAGCACATTTAAAACAGCAGCTGCTACCAAAGTGTTTAACAATAAGATCAAGACAGTAATTAAAGAAAAATGTAATTAAAAGCATCAAAAAACACTGAGAAATAATGGAATACTCCATCAGGTCATACTGTGTTAAACATCAGTGAATACAGGTGTTTTTAGGAGATTTAAAGGCGGAGTGAAGTGGCCTGTCTAATGTTGAGGGTCAGATTGTTCCAAAGTTTAGGGCCCGCAACTGAAAAATCCCGATCTCCTCTGAGCTTCAACCTGGTTTTTGGTACAACCAAAAGTAGATGATCAGATAATCTCGGTGTCCAGAAGGAACATAAGGTTGAAGTAGATCAGAGAGGTATCAGGGTGCGAGGCCATTAATGCATTTAAATGTCAACAGGTGAATTTTAAAATAAATTCTGATATGTACAGGGAGCCAGTGAAGGGAGGACAAAACCGGTGTAATATGTTCAAACCTACGAGTTCCTGTTAAAAGCCAAGCTGCAGCGTTTTGGAAGAGCTGGAGACGTGAGAGGGACACCTGACTGACCCCAACATAAAGTGAGTTACAGTAGTCCAGCCGAGTTGTAACAAATGCATGGGCTAATTTTTCAAGGTCAGATCAGGTCAACACAGTTTTAAGCTTGGCTATCTGCCTTAACTGGAAGAAGCTTTGTATGTAGAACAGTTAATGTGTTTACTAAACTTTTTTTAAAATCAGAGTCTAAAACCATCCTGAGGTTTGTAACAGACTGCTTAAGATAAGGCTGAAGAGTCAGGTTAACGGGAACAGAGGTAGAGCTAGGGCTAAAGACAAAGACTTCAGTTTTCTGATCGTTGAAACTTAACAAGTTTGAAGCCATCCATGCCTTAATGCCATCAAGACATTTTAAGAGGGTGAATTGTGCATGAACTATTTGGTTTTAAGGGCAGATAAATCTGACAATCATCAGCATAACAATGAAAATAAAATCACAATAAAAACATTAAATTCATAAGCAGTCCAGAAATATCAGGCACTTATTTCCCTGAATTATGATTAATTTCATCAAGAATAATTTGACTTTAAAAAAATGGAAATGATTTGGCCAAAAAATTTTACCGTAATTTCTGGACTATAAGCCGCTACTCTGAACACTTTGAACACTGCGGCTCATACAACGCTGAGGCTAATTTATGGAATGTTTTTTTTTTGTTTGATGGGCTAACGAGCTTCATGCCGCCAAACATTTATCTTAGTCATACCTGGGTGCTCACATAGCTGCCCAATACACGTCTCTCTTTTGGGGTGGGTCCTCGTGACTCAGTGAGACTACCTGTATGAGACTACCTGTATAAAGGTTAAAAAAAAAAGGAATCTGACCAATGAAATTACCAACAGGTCACAGTGGACCAATGAAATGGGGAGGAGAACAGGGAGTAGGGGAATCCCCACTCCCTGTGCGTGCCCCCCTCACATGCACAGAGCATGTTGGGGGGGGGGGGGGGGGACTCCCCTGCATGTTCGTCTGCCGGTGAATCCTGACAGTGGAGCAGGACAGCACAAGCATTGTACAGGAGGAAGATGAAGATAGCCATGTTACTGTTTTTAACCAGCCGTGTCACAGGCACTGTTCAGAAAAAAAAACATTTACTGTACATATTTGTGTATTTTACCGACATATTTAATAAAAAAATTAAAACATAATTCTGTGTAATTATCTCATGTTACAACGTGGACACCCGTGGCTTATAGACAAGCGCAGCCTGTACATACACTATTATTATTTTTAAATTTAGTGGGCGTGGCTTATATTCAGGTATGCTCAGTAGTCCTGAAATTACGGTAAATGACCCCTGAGATTACCATCAGTAAATGTTAAGGCTAACGGTTGACAACAGTCCTTCTAGTTGCAATGACCCAGACTGGTGTTGCTCACATGTCGCTCCTCCACTCTAGGTCCACTTGCTGCTGAACAGCACTCTCTGCAGTCTCAACTAAAAAAGAAAACCAAGAAGAAAAGTTTTTTTAAAAACAAGGTGATCAATTCATTAAAGAAAGCAAACAAAATGTTTTTTTTTTACCTTGAGCTTCGATGCTGATGTAGAGTGCACTAAGCCTGGCTACTATGTCTGCATCATCTTCCTCTGGAGGAGTAGAGCCAGTGTACCCTTTTTCATCTTTGCAGTACTGAATGAAGCTGCAAATTATGAAGAAAACCCCGTTGAATAGACTGAAGTCTTAAAGTGTTTTTATATGCAGGTGAGGAGAAACGGCAGCTTGTGTGCAAAACCTACTGAGCCCAAGTGGGATCTGTGTTCAGCACTACAGGGTTTCCCACCACAATCAGCAGAGCTTTGGCTCGGGTCACAGCAACATTAAATCTCTGGAAAACACAGAAAATGTGTCAGATGATGTGTAAACGACATTCAGCGTCTGTGTTTCTGTATGTGTGCGCTTGTTTCTTACTTTCTCATTCTTGACAAAGCCCAGGTTGAACTTTTTGTCATACTCCATGTAATCTGAGCTGCTTCGAACTGTGGACACCAAGATTACTCTTCTCTCCTGGCCTTGAAACTCCTCCACTGAACCAACCTGTCACACACATGCACATATACACTGAATGCACACTGGCTCCTCCATATGGATGGCCTTCTGTTTCAGTTTACTCGCCTTCAGACTGTTCATGTCCTTAAACTTGAAGTCTTTCCCAACTTTGTCCAAGGCCTTTCGAATTTTCTGCACCTATACAAGACAAAACAGCTGCACCGTTTAATCTACACGTGGCTAGGAAAGTGTTTGCTTGTGCGCCAATCAAAGTAATCTGAAAAGAGAATACACTAGTCCCTCATCAATCGCGGAGGTTACGTTCCAGACCAAGGCGGCAGGTGAAAATCCACATAAATAGCAGTTATAATTATTTTATTATTTATTTATTTTAAGGCTTTATAAACTTTTCCCACTCTCTTATACTTCATGTGCCCTTAAACACTTTGGCGATAGTGAAGATGATGGCGACGAGATGAATGTACAGTAGCACAGCATGTACAAATACACACATTATTAAAAAAAAAAAAAAACGGGTTTAAAAAACTATGATACAGTGAAGACGCAAGAAGTGAACCACGATGTAGCGAGGGACAACTGTCCATAAACTCGTTTTTCATAGGAAACAATCCATACCTGCTTCCTGTAGGGGGCGATGATGCCAATATGTTTGGGAAAAATTTTAGCCAGGCCCTTCTTGCCTTGTGACGTCAGCAGTTCTCTCACATAGTCCATCAGCACTTCCACTTCTGCAATGTTAAAGAACGAAGGGCTGCTGGCCTCGCGACTGTCAATACCAGGCACCCCATGAAAGATCACTGGGAAGTCCTGCAAAAAAATGTAATAAAAACCATAAAGTACTTTCAGTGATGCAGCTGTGCACCTTTTGAGACCACTTGCTCAGAAGTATACTGCAACGCCACAGTGTCTGCAGGGCAACGTGTAAAGTTACCTCTTACCTCTAAATACTGTTTATTTCTACAGACAGTTACGCATCAGAATGAATGAAACGTGATACGATGAAGCTGAAAAATTCATGTGTTTTTAGACACTTATGGTAAAACGTGATGTTCCTTTAGCTTTAGATTTGGTTTTGAAGTAAGGTATGAACATCTTTAATACTTCTGTACTATACTGACATTTATCACCCACCATTAAAAGTTAAGCAGAAGTTTTATTCATGTTGTGTGTGTCTGTTACCAAATGACCTCATGAACTACGGGACAAATATTAGAACTTGAAGCAAAAATAATAATTGGATGAACATTTACAACTGATTAACTTTTGGAGCCAACCCAATTCAAGATGGCAGCCACAGCAAATTTAACTTAGAAAGACAAAAATGGCTCCAACTTGGTCAGTTTGATAGATATTGTGCTAAAATTTGTTGTGTTTGTAGCTGAGGCTTATTCACAACACGCTGAGTCGAGTGTCTCATGACGTCACACGTTTAACACGAACTGCTACAACTCCCATCATTCCTTAACAGATGACCTTAGTTTCAAATGACGTCATGAAAGGCGGCACACAAAATGCAAGACCTTTAATTCAAAACTGATTTACCGTAGTTATCTTGCTTTGCCATTCTTGAGCAGCTTCATTATAAAACCAAATAATCAGGTAAGATTCCTCTGACACTGACAGTTTCATTGCTTTGATTTCTATTTATTTTTTTATTGAAGCACGTTGCACGTGTGTGGGCTGGCAGCAAAATGAATACCTTCTTTGGAAGTTTATCCCATCCACAGTAGAGGTTGCGTGCATATTCATCTGCACAAGTCTGCAGCTCTCCATCATAGAAGAGCTCATTGGGAATTTTCAGAATGGCAGGATGAGATCTGGAAAAAAAAAAAAAACAAGCACCCAAAATCAGAATGATCAAGGCACCTAGTTTGTGTGGAAAAGGTAACATAAAATCCAGCTCTTAAAGCTTGCCTATAGTTGCGCAGCAGTTTGGTGACGAAGCGATTGTTGTAGACGCCCTCGTTCTTGTGGTACAGAGAGAAATTGGTCATCAAGCGCTCCAAGAAGGACACTCCTAAAGACAGCATAGCCGTTTAGCTTGTTGGCAAAAATGTCAAATGTGCAGCAAAGCTTTGCAAAGAGCATCTCATCTTTACCCATCCCGTATTTTAGTGCAAAAGGAGATCTGAGAATGGGTCCGAGCTGCTTGGGGTCTCCAGCCAGAACGAGTTGTCCACATTCTGCATCCAGCAACCCTGTTTGCCAAAACATAAAAATTAAAAATAAATAAAAACAAACACATAAAAAGGCAGTTCAAGGCTATTCCAGAACACCCAGTTTGTTTCCTCTACCTGCAAATGAGACTAAACACTCCGTCTCCACAGCGTGTCCAGCCTCGTCTACAAACACGTGCGTGAAATGTCCAACAGGAATGGCTCCTGATACAAACCTGCACAGATAAAACAAGTTCATTCAGTTCAATTCAAAAATGCTTTATTAATCACAAAAAGAAATTAAGTGTTGTCATCATCCTGGTTTCATTCAAGAGTTGTTAGATGCTGATAGCTGTGAGCAGGAAGGATCTCCTGCAATGAATCCGAAGAATCTGGCTGCAGATACCGATCCGTCCACCTGGATCCAGCTTACTGTCAGATCCGGCGGGCCTCTCGGTCCTCCTGGGCAGGACTGCCCAAATGCCCAGTAGAATTCCTCCCTGAGCGATGGTCACTCCTCTCAACAGTCTGCCGAGCTCCTTGTCACCACAGACAGACAGCTGAAGGTGCCGGCGGATGATCCCAGTCCTCCTGTTGTCATGAGCCAAGTTTCTCACCAGCTCCAGAATCTCTGCGGTCAGATACTCAAGCACCGCCGGCAGGTTGACGGGAATTCATCCACAGCACCTCCTTTTTAACTCATTTAGGATTTAGGGCTGTAGCTGAAGTATTTGAGCTTTTGAGATGTTAATCAGCTGCTCCTGGTCGTTAGAAAACACCTTGTTGCCATGGTTACACATCATAACAAATGCCCCAAAATAAAAAGTTTTCAGTAAAAATCCTTCCAGCTGCACAGCATCTGATACCAGCGGAAGTAATCATCCGAAAAAAATAGATTTACAGCCAGAAAAAAGAGGAATTAAAAGTTGTCAAAAGTAATAACTCCAAATGAAAACAGCAGATCTAGTCCAACATGCAGCCACCCTGAGCAGCACGAGTGAAGTGACCTTCATGAGTGAAGGTCCCCTCTAGTCGTTTGGATTTACAAACTTTAAACAAGGTTATTAAGTAATAATGTGGCACAAAGATGAATAAAAGCATCACTCACCTTCCAGCAGTCAACAGGGTGGTGACCATAATCTTATACTCCATCAGCTTCTCTTTACGAGGATAAACGTAACAATCCCCCACCAGGTTGGAGCATTTCTGTGAAGCAGCACCATGTCCATGTAAACAAAATGAAGAAACGGCTAAATATTTCATGTCCACCAGATGGCAGAAAAACTACAGTAACTGTGATAGTGAGCTGGCCGTACTTTATAAAAGTAATCTTTTTAAGGACTGTAATGTAGGAACAGACCACTGACCAGTAGGCGATCAGGGACTAGTTTTGGGTCCCGGCTGCTGGCGTACATGCGGTACACTTTATGCTCGTCCACGTGCTCCAGAATCTGGGTGCACAGCAGATCAGCGGCGCTGTTTGAAGGAGCGCAGGCCAGAATATGGCAGGAGGCCTGGGTCTTCTCTATCTGCTTGATGGACTCCACCACAGTGACAGTTTTACCTCAAGAGAGAAACAACCAGGATAAACATGACTGCTTGAGTCTAAAAGGAACGCAGAGCGGACAGATCAGTAGCCTCCATCGCTGCAAAGCAGATTCAAACCAGGGCATGAACACTTCTGCTTTCCATGCATGCGGCGAAACAGTGAGCAGATAAAAATGTTGGCCTTTACTATGGAAGAGACACAAATAAACTAGTTTTCCCAGCAATTCAGAAAACAAAATCATTTCTTAAAAAGCGCCGTTTGCTGGAGCTCACGGTACCTGTTCCAGGTGGGCCAAACACAAGGTACGGAGCAGGTCTGGATGAGCCAGCCACAATGTGTTGCACCGCTTGATACTGCTCTGGGTTCTTCTCCAGCTGCCAATCAAACAAGCTGAAAAAGAAGAGGAAAAGTAAAATAAAATATGTTACGAGCTGAATCAGCATCTCGTTTCTTTTTTGCATCTGCTTCCTGAATGTGAATCAACCAAACATCTTGCGTCACAGATTCATCAATAATAATGCACTTTTAGGATTTAGATGCAAGATTTTTTTGGAGAACCACATCTCCTGACTTTTGGCATAATCGCGAAGATGGTTTTCTGGTGGCTCTAACCTGAGGCTGGGGAGCTCAAGTTCCTGACATGAGGATGGGTTTACATCAGGAAACAACACACTCCTCAGGTTGGAGGAAGCTGCATACTCAGCTGCTCTGTGCTGCAGGCGCACAGTGAGGTGGTTGATGGTGAACTCCACGTTAAACTTTATCCCTTCTATAAAGCTGAATTCTGTGCCTTTTGTATAACGATCCAGCAACCTGCAATAAAACGGAGGCAGGGATTGTATTTTACTCACCAGCATTTTCTTCAGCAAACGTGACCATGTTTAATTTATTACTGTTACTACGGTGTCTTTATCTTACTCTGAGGCGAAGCCCAGTTTGATGCTGTCCTGCTGCACGCTGTAAACGTAGCCGCGGTACTTCACTTCTGATTCTCCCTCAGGGTACACCAGCAGCGAGTCTCCTCGCAGAACAGACGGGCGGTTCTCCGACACACCAGGAACCTGCAGGTAAAGAAGAAGGTGAAAATCTAAAAGCGACTACGTCTCAGGTGAACACGGTGCCAAATAAAATAGCATTAACTGATAATAAAAATACATCAATTTAAACCCAAGCGTTCCTTCAAGGAAAGCATGTGGCCAGCAGCTTTTTGTGACAGTTTAGAATGAGATCATCCTTTGTTGGAAAAAAAAAAAAAGACAAATATAGCCGTTTTAGTGAAACCTTACAAATAATGTTCTGCTGTCATGCTCAATAGTACCAGTATGTTTTGTGAATGACTTAGCTGCAGCTGCAGACAAGTTTGTCTCAATATCTGTAAAACTGACGGAGTTGTATCCTACTTATGTAGGAACATAAATCGTGTGGTCAGTCAGGTCATCTGGACGTTTTTTTTTTTTTTGGCTGAGATGTTTCATCCTTCATCCGAAGAACTTCTTCAATCTGAGGAGCCACCAAAAAACTGAGTCCCACCACAAACAGCACACTCCCATAGTGGGGAGAAAAAACAGTGTGCTGGTGATAAAGATGGCTTTCGGGGCATGCCCTGTCAACTTCTCTGAGGCAGTCTTGCCAAAATGGTTCAAAACTCTTCAGATTGAAGAAGTCCTTTGGATGAAGGGCGAAACGTCTCGGGATGCAAACCGTGTGGATTTATGTTTTTGATATCATCAAACAAGGACTAACTTTCCAACAATCACAGGATGCATTTGTTCCACTCTCACATGATGAGGTTCCCAGCATTTCATGAAAACAAAATTCCCTGAGTTTTCCCTGAGTAAATCCTGAAATTCCAGGAAATATTTCAATCACACAAAACACAGAACTGAACTGTGATACGTGCATGCAGCAGTCATTCCTAATACAGTAATTAAATATATTGTATAACATCAGATACTGAAAACCACCACAGCCAATCTGTAAGCATCCGTGTAGAACACTGTAGAAGCAGAACATGGACTCAGTGATACTAGAATACCAGCATTAACACATGTACATGTTAAAATCTCAGATCATCTTTTAATCAGCAGATCAGCGTTCTGATTTCTCTAGAGCAGACCTGGGCATTGTACGGCCCCAGGGCCACATGCGGCCCTTTGGTTGACTCTGACCAGCCCCCGTAAGGGGAATTACAAAATGCATATGTAAACAAATGAAGTTAACCAAATCCAGATATAGATCCTCTCTCACTCATGATGTCAGCTTTGCTTCACATCTCCACCTCAGACCTTGAACCTGACTTTAACATTTCCGTTAAAGCCCAACAGAGACTAAACTTCTCTCACTAAACAAGAAAAAAGAACTGATAAACACCAAATGAGATGTTTAGACTACAAATGTAGGCACGTAAAGAACCGGGACTCGAAATCACAGTTCAGTGACGATCATTATTATATGATGTTTCATAATATTTGGAGTACAAAGACAATATTGTGATATATTTACAAAGCTAAGAACTTTTTCCAGCAGTATATAAAACTCGAAATGAGTTTTGGGGTGAATGTGACTGAAAATGATCATTAATATAACGTCACAAATGGTAAAAATGTTAACAGTTTACCATTGTACTGGGAAATTTAATTGAATAAATTACATTTTTTGTAAGGAAACCTCGCTTTTTCGTTGCTTAATCATAACAAATACTCTTACCAGCTTGTTAAAACAGTGCTATGTACTGCGTTTAATAATGAAATACTATTATTATGCAGTATTGAGTTAAGTTAAAATCAGGTCTCTCTTGTAAATGAGTCCTCGAGGCTCAATGGGATTTACCTGTCTAAATAAAGGTTGAATGAAAAAGTCATTTGTGCCAGCCCTCCACAATATTTGCTGTTTCTCATGTGGCCCCATGGAAAAAATAATTGCCCACCCCTGCTCTAGAGTTTTCCCTGTCTAGAAAATGGGAAAGCCATTTTCTAGGTTTTCCCTGATTTCCAGAGTCTTGGGAACTTAACATGAGAATTCTTGATTTTCTCAAACAGACTACAAACACTTTGAGTAAATTCCAGCCAGTCACGGCCTTCTAATCTCGTCACCATGGTAACGAGGAGTCTGTACGCAAAACAAAATCCTTTATCTGACGAGCGGCCTTGACTGCATGAAGTTTCTCAGAGTGGCTAACTTTGAGCAAAACTCTGAATAACCACAGAACTCAAGAAAGCCAAATTAGTATTTTTGCTCATTGTTGTGTTACATTGTATATGTATATGTATATATAAATATATATACACCTCTTCTCTCCCTCCAGCATCTGAGGCTGAACAACAAATCTTTAATGAACTCTGATATGTGTTTGATGGGTAACAATCCCTCTTTATTTATCTTTATGTGTTGTTATAATTCGGTTCCACGTCAGTCTTTACAAATTATGATTTATTGTTATGCTGAGGCATTGATAATTCTTGAGAAGTAGATGATTAGAATGTTGATTTTAAAGTTTAAACTTTTAGTCTTGGGAATCTTAATATTCCATAAATTTTCTTTCAGACAAAGTGTGGAAGAGAAATGTGTCGTTTGACTGGTCAGTCATTCTAAACATGACCCGATAGAGACCAAAACCAAGACATAAAACTGTCTGTATCCATCATCATAAATACCTTAGTTCTTCCTCTTTCTTAGCCCCCTTGATAAATGTTCCCAACAGTTATAATAGATGATTCTCAAGGTTGAAGCAAAGATTTTTAGTGTGTAGCACAGGGCCGGGTCCTGCCGGGAAAGAACACTCTTTTTTTGACAGGGTGCTTCCGGTAACTGTTTGCTTATGATCCGGCTTGGATCCGGTAACTCTCAGGCTTACTAATAACAAAGTTTTGGACAAATATGACTGCCTTAAACAAATAAAACTTATACTGGATATGTAAACTGAAAATTATTACATAAACACTAATTTTAAACACAACATCATATGATCTGCCTCTTCAAGTGAAGCAATTCCACGTCTACCCTTAAAGAAATCTCCACCCCTAAAAGAGTGAAGTGCTGAGCAGGCAGTCGTACGCACGCAGGAGCTCACAGCCACAGGTAGGCGGCTGGAGGATTCACATGTGGAGTCAGACAACGAGCCGGGACAGTCGGGCTCAGTACTTGACGGTTCCGTAAAGTAGGGGGAGGGGGCTGACAAAAGCCGAGTGTTTACAAATGTAGGAAAACGTAGATGTTTAACAGCTCGTTAAAATACACCAAAATGCAGAAAATCACATCTATTAAAAATTTTCAGGGGGAGGACCCCCCCAGATCCCACCAAAGCCCCCACCCCGGCCCGCCCGCTATCTGTGTTCTGGCATCGATTGGTTTACAAATTAAGCCCTGGTGTTGCCCTTAGATCAGGGGGTGCCCACACTTTTTCAGCAAGCGAGCTACTTTTAAAATTATCAAGTCAAAGTGAGCTACAGGAGAACAACATCTGGAGCTGTTTGTTTTTTCAATGTTTATTGGGGGCATTAAACAAAAAAATGAGCAGGTTTACACAAAAATGCTATAGTTTCCATGTCAGTCGGGTTGCCAGATAAGAAATTATGAACTATAGTACTGTGGCTTTAAAATGACAGTATTTTAACCTAAACTGTTGTATGTGTTGAGTAAAGATATTCTAAGATGAGGTGTAAGTTGTTTGTTGAACATGTGCACAGAAAAGGAGGGGGTAAATAAGACATTTTAAATTTATCTGGCAACCCTCATCGTGCATGAAGCGTCTGCATGATCACAGTTGCTCCAAACTGGTGAATATACTAAATTCTCTTTGGAACTGGATTCTATTAGTTTTGCTTCTACATGCTGAAAATGGGTGAGTAGCACAAAAACACTGCTCTCTGACATTTATTATAAATTGTTAGCACAGAAAAACTTTTGACTGCAGCCGCCTGTAGTGCACATGAGGGACTTTACACTTTTGAGTATTTCACACCTCCGTGGGGGGCTGCCCCAAAAATTTCCACTCTGAGCCCCCTTTACACGGGCAGGGGGAAACGCAGTTTTTTGGATGTTGATTCAAGGAAAAAAATCCTGATTTACATGACAGCGTCCATTGTTTCCATGCAAACCTGGAGCTTTCAGAGAATGAGGGCTGTTGTTGTGTAAATGACCGTGTAAACGTGTGTAAATGAACTCACGTTGTGTAAACGGGGCCTCAGACTGGCTGCCTGTAGAAAAAATTTAATAAATTTTTCATGAGGACGGATGATAGGCCGACATCTATTTTTTTTTTTTTTTATGCCATGTGATCTACCCATTTTACCTTTGCGATAAACCAATAGATCACGATCGACATATTGGGCACCCCTGCCTTAGATGATGTGCCGTGAAAGACTCGGTAGGCTCACCCCACACTAAATTTTAGCCCAATTTAATTGACTGAACTGCAGCATAACCAGTTTTGTGTGTGTTTTTTAATCAGTTGACTTGGGCTGCCTTTTTTAATTGAATTGGCTCCAAAATTTACCCATTTGTGGAGTTATTTCCAAAGATTCATTAAAATCCATACAATGCTTGATGAGATATTTTGGTAATAGTCACACACATGGGCATCATTTTTACTGTTCGCCTTTGCCTTTCAGCAGCGATGAATAATTAGTGCTTAAAACTCATTTACTGCCTCTCAACCTGATCCCACTAAATACTTGTATTTTATCCAGAGGCTAGAGATGCTAATTTGGGTTCTAGAGTGTTTAAATGTTTCCACTTCTTCAATTTGCTAATAAACCCTAATAGAATAAATGTGAGAAGTGTGACTTTCATATTTACCTCAAGAAAAAGAAGTTTCTTATTGTGCTGGTCTCTTTTTAGGACAGCAAACTCTGTGTCTTCATTGGGGATGTTGTACCTCTTGATGTCCACCTCCATCTGAAGTTCCTCCAGATACAGCATTAGCTGAAACTTCTCCTTGTAGTTCTCCCAACTCAAGGGGCTCGCTAGCACAGTCCCTCTACGGAGTAGAGCGTATGACAGAGCTTACAAAAAAAGTCATCTTTGCTTATTGTTATTAACGGAGATGAACTCACCTTCGATCTTTGAGAGGAGTAGACTTCTTCAGTATGTTGATGAGCTGGTGGATGTGCTGCGGTACTTTATATGGTTTTAATGGGACCACATTCTGCAGATGCATCACTGACAGTCTGTTAAACGGGAGGAAATCGGAAACAATTGTCAGATTCCAAAACAAAAAAAATGAATAAAAATTGTGAAAAGTCCAGGTCAATTGGAAAAAATAAAATAAAATTGATTTTTTTTAAATGGACTTAAACTGTTATTTTATTATGAAATATTGGGAATCCAAGATATTGGAAACAGGTCTCTTTTGCAAATGAGTCCTTGTGACTCACTGTACCTATATAAATAAAGGTTGAATTATTATTTTTTTTAATCTAGTTTTGTCTTTTCAACTTATTTTATTAATAGTCATTAATGCAAGTCAGGAGTATAACTTCCCAACAAATTAGAAAGGTAAAGCTTTTACCTACAATGTCACCATTTCCTCTCACGACCTCTGAAAGATGTATTGATATTGACATGTTTTAAGATGGCAGCAATCCAACTGATCTTGGATACACTCAGATTAGCCATTAACTCGTCAATCCAGTCAGAATTAAAGTTACTCAAATTTGTCTTGCTAAGGTAAGGATCGTGTCTTTAGCAAAATGATATGCTGCTGATTTATTAATTTCACAGCGTCACCTCTCACTGTTCCTCTCATATGGCAAAGCATGGCTAAATGAGTTTTATACCGTGGTTTGTTTCAAGGAAGGAGGCTGAAAACAGACGGAGTTGAAGCTGCAGTTCACACGCTTACTAACGTCGTGAAGGCAGTGCAGCTGAAGAGGATTATTATTTAATACATGTAAATAAAGGTCTAAAAAAAATTAACTAATATACGTAGTTTATTTTTTAGACATTTATTTTGTCCAGTTATAGCTGTTTACTATATGTGCCTATGTGACAACTGGGATGAAGCTTTGACTCATAAATATATTTTTGTTATTACTTTATAGAAAGAAAAAAAATTAGAGATATATATCGTGTTTCGTCATTCATCTTAAAATATTGATATATTAATTTTGGTCCATATCGCCCAGTGCGGACCGAAAAAATGCTGAAATGCAAACTCAATGCAAACACTTGGTTGAACCTGATGAAAACTACATGTACGCTCAAGTCAGGTCAATGACTGACATTAGGCTGGCGGTAGTCTGTGTAGGTAAACAAATATGGTGGAATCAGAGAGGCGTTGACTCTCAGGCGAAGACGTTAAGGTGGAAATATAAAAGTGGCCCTGTAGATACATGCACAAGAAAAGAAGAACACGACCTGTACACACTTATATGCATACCCGACTCAACAAAACTGAGTAAATATGTGCCAGTACATTAAAATTGTCAAACTTCTCCAGCTTATCCACAGACGTCACCTTTGTTCACCTATTTTCAGTCACTTCAGATGTATGCGTAGGTATAAAAAAGTGCGGTAGTTAGTAGCCTTTCACAAATTTTGTTTTGAAAACTTTATCTCAAAAGACACATTAACCATGATATGAGGAGGAAAAAAACGTGTGGATTTCTTCATGACTTTAACTGACAAGTCTTCATGAGATCTTCTTCACACTTTTCAAAGCATCCAAAGTAATATTCTCTACTCTTCCATTTGCTACTGAATGATGTTCTTGATGCAGTGAGATTTGATCATTTGATTGAGTTGTTAAGACAAAAAAAAAGGAAACTGTCAGTTTAAAAAATGTGATCTCTTGAGTCCATGTTGACTGACTCTGCAATAAAATAATTGCCTAAAAATATTGATTTTCCATACCACTCAACAACTTTGTTATTTCCAATTGGAACACAAAATGATCGTACCCCTCGGGAGGCTGCCCATCAACAATCTTGCTGTTGGTCTCAGGGGTCAAGGCGGGGAGGGAGCGAGGCTTGAAGGGGGCAATGGGTGCCAGCTCCAGTCCCAAGGACGTGATGCACTGCGCTTCAATGAAACGAACAATGTGGAACGCTGTGGAGACCTGCAAGTCCGGTTTGAATTCAAAGGCCAACGTGGCCGGGAAAAATCCTACAATGCTGCAACAGAACTTAACCTGGACTTCATAACTGTCACCTGAGAACAGAACCAGAACAGATGTTAAAAAAATGCTTGCTGGATTAAATAAAAGGTAAAATTGTGGCGTTTGGATTACCTGGTTGCAGAAGCCAAGGGTTCTGTTTGGTCACTTTGCGTTCATCGACCAGATTTAGGAATTTGAGCCAGTGCAAAGGGGTGTAGTAAGTGAAATATACAGGTTTTGTTCCAGTGTTTTCCACACGCAGTATGATCTTATACTGTTGGGCCAACAAGCATCACAAAAACAAATTAGTTTCATTTTGACATGAGTGACAGGAGGCAGGTGCAGACTCGCAGCATAAATACCTCATATGTGTTCTCCACACACAGGGCAACTTTACCGTTCTCAAACGGGTAATCAGAGGTGATGCTGATACCGTGTTTATCAGAGATGAGCTGGCTCCTGGGCGTGCAAAAGAGCAAAGGTTCAAATTCACTGTATTAATGGCAGCAGTGCTCATGAGCTTCTATGCTTTCAAAAATATTCATCTGTTGGAGACGCATGAAGACAAAGGACTTAGGACATCAGCCTGTGGTTTCAGTCAGTTTCTGCTTATGATCAAAGACACACTAAAGGAGTTTTTACCTTTTTTTTTTTTTTGAATGTAAACAACTTTTATGGATTTATGTTTAGAGGGCAATAAAAAAATGAACATGTTTGCTTTAAGTTATAAAGTGAAGAAGTCTGTGTGGTTACCTGTCCACCCTCAGTCTGCTCATCAGAAGACTGGCCAGTTTTCTCCGGGCTCTGACTCCCATCTCGGCCTGATCCTCTGAGCGGAGGTCCTGTAAGATTTCCTGGCTTGCTTGTCCAGTCAGGACGGGTTGTGGCCTTTGGTTCCTGGGTGTGCTCCACTGATCCACGTACAGAGCTTTCACCTGCACAGGTTAAGGTCAGTTTTGTAAAAGTACATGTTTAAAATCCTCTTTTTTAATGATATGTGAGGACTGAGCTGCAGCTCTTTGTGCCTCCAGAGGAGCACACTGATGTGCAAGAAACTGGTCAGTGGCTTTCAACCTAACCAGAGTTAAACGTAGGCTTCTTGAGGTGTATGGGGGGGGGGGGATAAAACTTCCTAACAGAAGAGAGAAAGAAGGAAAACACTATCCCTTCCCTGAAAATCCCTTCATGCATCTTTCCACTGCCTTTTATTTTACCAACATTTATTCCATCTAATTTGTGTGCTGATGGTTCTTTCAAATTGGATTCATATTGGTTTTTATTGATTATGAGAGTTCTGCGACTGCGATCAAGTTAAACTCAAAGCAGTCTGCTCCTCAATAAATAATGTAAATTTATTATTTTTATATAAGAATGTTTCTGTTCAGTGCCCGGAAATGACTTCTGTTGTGACTTGGCGCTATATAATTACACTGAATTGAATTAAATTTCTAATAAAACACAGTTTAATTCCAGTTGTATTAATGAATTGTAAATAATATTAATAAATTGACAATAAATGTTTCATATACCTGTATATATCCTGATACATGCTCTGTAATCAAGGTAGAAAAATTAAGGTTATGGTCCTGTTTACACAAGAACAACCTCTGGAAACGTTAGTGTTTTTTCAATGTTTGTTGGGGGTAAACAAAAAATGAGGGTTTACACGAAAACGCTGTAGTTTCCATGTCAGTCTGATTGCCAGATACGAAATTTTGAACTACTGTACTGTCTCTTTAAAATTAACAGTATTTTTGACCTAAGGTTCAAGGAGACTTTATTGTCTCTCGTGCATGAGGTGGAACGAAACTGAACTAATGTTTCTTTGTACCCTGGATTTTATTGATTTTGCTCCTTTATTTGTTTTTTGTTTTTTATTTAACCTTTATAGGTAGTCTCACTGAGTCATGGGGACTCATTTTCAAGAGACATGCTTGGGAGCAGATGGTGGAGGTTAAGGGCCTTGCTCAAGGGCCCAAAGTGGGGCAAATGAGGGTGGAGGCCAGTGTAGGTGTTTCACCTTTTCCACCCACGTTTTGATGTTGTCGGTCCGGGAGTCGAACAGACAACCTTCTGATCACAGCCCCATCTTCTCTAGCCTCTGCGCCACAACTCCCCATTTTACCACTACTATAGCTATGTTTACATGTGCAAAATTATTTGACTGGATTGAAATGTTTTCAGATTAAATATTCTAAATGTATTGTTTACATGGGCACAATCCGTTCATGACGAGCGTTTACATGCTGCGGGCTTTGTTCTGAACAGAAGTACTGGCATGCACAGAGTGGTAAACTCTCCTTAAAAAAAAAACACAGAAGAAGAAGTACTACTTCCGGCTTACTTCCGGTATGAACGTAAACAAAGCTGAGCACCCAAAATGGACCCACGACAGGTTTTAATGACGGTGGAGACATTACTGCACTCCCTGACTGAGCTACAGGTGATACAGATCATTTTGAGCTCTTTCAAAGTTTCTACTAGAAATGTTGTCGCTCACCGCCCTGTTTTGCTCCCCCGACATGCTAATATTATTAGCATTAGACAGGCGGAAATGACATAGGTCGCACATGCGCAGTCAGATGAGTTTTTCACGATCATGAAAAAAATGCACAGATTAAGCGTTTACATGGACACCTTTCAGGTTATGAATCGTCGTAAACCACCCGTTTCGTTCTGATCACAAATTCTTTCGGCTCACATGGAATAAACAAAAAAATACTCCGAACAGGGTGTTTACATGACACATTTTTATTCCGAACAGCCGTTTAATCTGATTACTTTTGTCCATGTAAACATAGTTTGTGTTGAAAAATGATGAGTAGCACAAAAACACTCTGCTCTCTGCCATTTATTATAACTGTTGTTAGTGCAGAAAAACTTTTGACTGCAGCCGCCTGTCGTGCACATGTGAGAATTGCACACCTCCGTAGGGGGTTCCACTGAAAATCCCCACTCTTTTGAGACCTGGATTCAAAAACCTTCAGAGAGAGAACGAGGGTTGTTGTTGTGTAAATGAAGAACAGCTGAACTGCAGCAGAAAAGCTGCGACTTCGATCAGGGAAACTAAACTGCCACTGGCCAAAAGGTCTCTCTTGTAAATGAGCCCCCGAGGCCCAATAGGATTAACCTGTAGAAATAAAGGTTGAATGAAAAGGCCCAGCACAGAAAAGCAACATCATCAGGCCAGGACTGCAGTCTACACTCATCTGGAGGCCAGAGGTCACTCTTTCAGGGATGAAGATATTCACATCCTTGATAGAGAGGAACGATGGTTTGAGAGACAGGAGGCCATCTTTACTTTGTAAATAAACTGAATTGAATTGTTAAACGGGGCGGGGGTCTCTGTATTCAACAATTATCCTCACAATGCAGTTATTGCAACCCCCTGTGGATAGCAAGCAGCCATCAGGGCTCCAACGATGTATTGTTAGGCTGATGGTCCTACTTTTATATGTAGATCTGGCTGTCAGCAGAAAACTGGTTGATCTACTGATAAGGTGGTGCTACTGTATTTATACAACTGAGTTTGGATAAAGAACGAAACGTTTCAATTCAATTCAGTTTACTTAAATAGTGCCAAGTCGCAACAGAAGTCATCTCAGGGCACTTATATATATATAAAGTTATTAACACTATTTATCTGAGGAGCAGACCGCTTTGAGTTTAACTCCATTGCAGATTCTCATCTTGAGCAAGCATGAAGGTGACAGTGGAAAGGAAAAACTCCCTCATGAGGAAGAAACCTTTAACAGAACCAGGCTCAGGACACGTGGCCATATATATATATATATATATATATATATATATACATATATACATATATATATATATATATATATATATATATATTAGGTCAATACATACTAAACATTTAGTGTTGGATTGTTAATTAGAAAGCCTTCTATGTTTAAAATAATTCAATTTATTTCAGGATTTTATTTTTTTATGTTCAACAGGAATCTTAATTGCATGCAGAATAGCATTTTTTTTTTCTAAAATCGAAGCTTTATCAGATACAGATTACACCAGATTATTGGTTGATTTGCTTTGATTATTGGTTACTCGTTGCTTATGTTTATAAGTATTAATTGACTTCATAATAAAAATGCTCATAATATCCACTCACCGTGGCGTTGAAGTAGATTTTGTTTTTCCGTCTTGTCATTTTGTCGCACGCTTGTAAGGCATATAAAATTGATCCAAAGCATGGATCACTGGCTCCTGCGTTCCTACAAATAACACAACAATTATTATTATAGATTTACACCCCAGAGGATATCTAACAAGGTTAAGTGAGGTCATCTGGACGGATTCTTAGCCTTGTTAGATTTCTCCACCTGGATTATTAAGCATGCATCAGGTGAGCTCAGAGTCAGAGGAGACATTTCGAGAATGAAACTTTCAAGCTCACCTGCTCCTGAACTCATTGTTGTAAATGTCTCTTAGCCGTAGTCTGTTTGTGATGGAGGTTCTGTTGGTCTCGTTCAAAAACTCGAAGAAGTCCAGTCCAGTTTGACATCGTGAACGTATGGTCTGTTTCACCATGATTACAAAGCCGCAAAAGCGTCCGCGTTATTCGCCTGAACACGAATTTATAGCTGATGATCTCTCACAGTGTGGAAATAAACTGAGAGGCGATCGTTTAATACCTCTTCACGTCCCGCAAAGGTGGTGCCTCGCTGCTTCCGCTGCCACAGACATTAGGAGATGAAGACGGTCGAGCTCGGAAACTGAAACAGGCGACCGCATCTAAACTCTAGGCGAGGCTGAAGAAACGAAACTTAACTCAGAACAGAACTGATCTCTACCTTAAAAAAATCTATATACGGCATGCCAAATATAATACTTTATTATGCACTTTGCTACTAGAAACATTGTCATTGTCAACATTTGTTGTCAGTATCTGCATCGGTTTTTGTCTATATTGTGATTTACCTCATTTTGTATTTTGCTTTTTGTGTTACCTGTTGTTTTGTCTGTACAGCACTTTGGTTGGCCTTGTTGCTGTTTTAAGTGCTTTATAAATAAAGTGGTATGGTATGGTAACATTTTCAATTATCTAATAGTTCTGTTCTTTGGTCAGATGATCACAATGTACACTGTAAACTTCAAACAGCCCCAGTTTCAACTGTAAAATGTTCATTATCTAGCATCAGCTTCAACGTTTCCTTTTCTCTGAAACCATAAAAAAGCTTGTCATTAGATCATCATGACAATGACTGAGCAGACTTGTTTGTGCTAGTTTAAACAGGAAAATAAAAAAAGAAAGTAGTTTAACCTCCACTGTTTGGCCACTAGGTGGAAACACAGCCTCATTTTTGCTGTGTGTGTGTATAACTGTAAGAACTACAAATAGGTAAATTATTTACTAATTTCCACTTCATTATCTGTATTTTCATTGTCTCTGCAGTACTCAGAGTGAATCCTTAAAATCAGGCACGATCAGATATGATCAAAGAAGATCCTTTTTATTTACAACATTAGTTTTTCCCCATTGCAAATAGTAAGGTGCTGCACTTTACTTAGACCTGTCTAAAGCTTTTGACACTGGATCACAACATCTTATGTCATAAGCTCTCAGAAATGGGTTTTTCAGCTCACACCATTGGTTGGTTCTCTAACTTTCTCTCAGACCGGAGGCAATGTGTTCAATATAACTGTACTTCCTCTAGTTATTAATGGTCAACAATGGTGTACCACAAGGCTCAGTCTTAGGACCCACCCTGTTTTATTCACTGGTTAATTGGTCATCATTAACTTCACGTTGACTCTCTCACTGGTACATTTTCATCTTTAAATCACTTCTTTGTCTTTTGCCTCATACATCTCCTCCTACATGTCACTGTGTGAGTGCAGCTGCAGCGTGCACTCAGGACATTATTACATACAATGTTCCCTCAGTGCAGACTGAACTTGGCAAAAGGGCCTTCTCGTACTCCTCTCCTGTTTCCTGGAATATCTTGCAAAAAGATGCGAAGCTCTCAACTTTAACCTCTCTAACTGGCTTTAAACATCTGTTAAGTTCCAGGCAAAAACCAATGCAGACTTGTTCCTGTTTTTAGTTTTCTACATCGCCTTACAACCTAGCTGTTTTTTTTTTAAATACCATTTTCTTTAATTTGTTCTTCTCAATTTATATGCTTTCTTTTATGAGTGTCTACTGTTGTCATCACTCTTTGTTAAAATCAGGTCTCTCTTGTAAATGAGTCCCCGAGGCTCAATGGGATTACCCTGTCTAAATAAAGGTAGAATGAATGGTATGGTTTTAGGAAGGCTATGTGAGGTTTAGAAGTTTCATATGGTTTGTGCATGCGTGTGTGTTTCGGAGTGTGGGAGGTGTTCGCTAAAGGTTCAGAACAAATCTGTGAACTGGCCAATGAGGATCAGAAGGAGAGGTTTGGCTTTGTTTGACACAAAATCTTCAGAACAACCAGAAATGTTTGTTTATTCTGATCAAGGTTTGTGATCTGCACGGATCGGTGTCTTTCTGTCAGCCTCATATCTATGTGCCTGACCACATGTGAGCTTGAAGTAAAGTCCCCTCCAGACTTTCTGTTCATTCAGACCTCCAATGACTCAGTCACCATCATGCTTTCCTAGCAGCCACGACCTCACATGAGCAAGACACCCAGACAGCAAAACGTGTGTTTTTGTGTTGCTGTCTGCTTTTGATAGCAGCCTGCATACATGTTCATCTAATAACATGTTAATGTGACTATTGTGCGCTTGAGTATCAGTGATCCAGAGAGACAACAGGACCAATAAATGACTTAAACGGCCGCAGCTGCAGCTCCATGGTAACTGGGTGTTTAAATGGAGGGACATTATGGACTGGAGCACAGGGTAATGACCGCTTTGGCTGTCGGAATGCCTTGATCTTATCACCAGTGCAAGAGGGGATGCTCCCACTTTCTGATGGTCTAATAGCCCCAGCTAATAGACAGGCAGCCTGGGCCACTGAGATCACTCAGAAACACAGACCTCCCCTCAGACACACACACACGCTCGCACGCACGCACGCACACACACATACACAATATCCATAAAAGTGTTTTGAATGAGAACTTAGAATTGTGCTCAGTTTTTTGTTGATCTGTTAAAATAAATGCTTGTGTTTTCTGTCTTGTTGTCTTGTTAACAGGCTTTACATTGCAAGTGCATTGTAACTGAACTGTTCAGGTAAAATGAGGTAAAATTATTATTAATGTTTAATAAACATGAACATTTCAGCTTGGCCTTATCCACACCTACACAGCTATGTTAAGTGTTGAGTGAAATCTCTGCAACTGGTTAGATGCTGTCATTTGTGTGTGTGTGTGTGTGGAGGGGGGGGGGGGGGGGTTGAATCTTGCTCTTTATCTCAGTAAATGACTGAGTGGAGGTTGGTTGTAAGGTCGTCTGTCCCTCAGACACCTAATCTTTCTATGTCACAGTTAGCACAGCCACCTTTACAGCACATAGTCCTCACACGCTTGGATATTATTTAAATGCTGTCTCTGGCTCGATTTTAGCTCTGTTAGC